CGAATGACGGAATAAGCTACAGTAGTACGTACCAATTTATTTTTATCTACCGAGTTTCGCGATTTTTGAAAATGCTTTATATGGCCAATAAAACAGTGCACATAATTTTTTGACTTGTATGACTGAACTTTTCGAATATTGAAGCAGAACTGGAATGGAATTAGCCTGGTGAGAATGGTTGCTGTTATAACCCCGCAAGAATTTTGGAAAATTTTGCAAGAAAGTTTCATAAAGCGCGACTAACGAAACATCCCTCGTATGCAAAAAAAACCTTTCGAGCCACGACTGCAGACTAAAGCATCTAATTTAATACCCAACCCCGCTTTTCCGCTTCCTTTCAATAAATGTCTAATTTTTTTTGATTTAGGAAATCATTCCAAAGAACTGTAATGTTTTTTTCCAATTATAAACCACTGTCACTTATATGCCAGAGTTTGCTCTCTGAAATGGAATTCGCATATTCTGCAAGAAGTCTGCAAACCTGAGTATTGTAGATAAAGACCGTAGCTTTGAGAGTTTGACTTTTACTGAATTCGAAGTTGAATTTATTTTTTGATTTATTTATTTGCGCTCAAGATGTTATTAAAGAGCTGGCTTTTCTGCAGGTTAAGCAAAACCGAGTGAACCGCCGAGAAAAGAAGCTTATTAAAAAAAGACACATGTGCATCTTAGATTTTCTCAAGCTTTTCGAGTTACAGGATATGGTAATATCACATGCAGAACACCTATTGGTAGACTGATTACCATTCTCTATGCTCTATTTGGTATTCCGATGATGTTGGCTGTTTTAAATGTTATTGGAAAAGGTCTCTTTGGACAAGCTCAAAGTTCCTACATGTTTGTTCGTCGGTATGTTCTTAGAACTAGCCTACACAAATAAAATAATCTAAAAAGATTTGAGGTTCATACGGCGAAGAATACGCCGATTTAAGCGTTCACGTCGAGGTCTCGACAGAGCTGGTACAGTCGAAACAGTCATTACAGAAGATCCTGGAAAGGTTACTAATATGTCCGCTACAAATTCGTTAAAATGTTGCTGCGATCTTCAGGAAGGTCCTGAAAAGGACGATAACGGTTTATTCGAGACATTTCCTATGTCCCTAGCTATTTTGCTTGTGATTATCTACATGTTCCTCTGCTCTCTTTTGTTTTCTATCTGGGAACAGTGGGA